TGTTTTTTTTTTTTTTACTGAACACAATCGTTTCTGAATCGAAAATCATTCTGAATTGAATTGTGACACCAAGAATCAGAATCAAATCGTGAGTTTGCAATAGATTCCCACCCTTGCTAAGTGTTCCAAATTACATTTATGACAAGACGTTGCAACATTAGAAATGTAAACGCATGAAAAAGCCCCTAGAAAGAATGGTTGCCCTCCCACCCTTTGGCTGCCTTTGAGCAGTCACCACCATTGTCAGGCCATAATTGACAACATGGTCCACAAGTGTGGCCCTTATTTCATTGGGAACATGCATATATCCTTCTCTCCTTCCTCTGTTTTGCTGCCTTTCCCTTCCACTACACAATCTGACTCCTCTTCTGCTTCGTGTGAGTTGCTGCTGTTCATTTCGTTGTTTTTCCATCATCAGAAATTGTAACACCGTGTTGTGCTCTGTCTATATATGCTTGACAATCAAAGGATCATGAGATTCACCTCTGAGCTATTTTATAGTAGAGAACTGGCTCCTTAGTTAAAAAGCTCATGGCATGCTTTTCCTTGTTTTTTTTTGTTTGTTTTTTTACAATGTTACAACTGTAAATTATCATCTTAGACATGACCTAAAGCAAAAAAAGTATATGTATGTTCTAGCACTTCCACACAGAAGCAATTTAGTTTATACACGTCTTGCCAACTCTCACTCGAGACTTTTTTCTAACAAAATAATGTAGTAAGTGATAGTTTAAGGACTGAATGGAAGGATCCTTGAATGGGCATAATCTCCAAGGAGTTGCACGTTCATGTGAAGCTTGCCTGACATTGACTGAAAAGTGGAATTTTTAGACTGCACACAGTTTTGTGGATATATTTTACCTACTGCTGCTGCACCAGAGGATGTGGAGAAAAATACAGGGCCTGAGGTTACTGCATGTCCGAGAAGGTTCCTGTAGGTAGGTAGGTAGAACTTTATTGATCCCACAGTGGGGAAATTCCAGTGTTCCAGCAGCAGTAAAGGGCAAAACAACATGACACCATAAGAATAAACACCCCACACATATCTTGAGAAAACAAGATCCAGGTACCCGAAAAACCAAACAAAAATATTGTCTCTGAAATACTATCAAGAACAAGAATAGACCTCCCACAGTTTGTCCCTCAGACAAGTCAAAAAAGATACCTAGGAACAAGACAAAAAAAAAGAATAGTATTGAGAGGAATCAAGAAAACAACCAGGAAATCAAGAA